GATAGATAGCAAAACACGTTTTGTAGCCGAATTTGCCAGCGAAGGTTCGACAGACTGCGATCCTAGTTTTGTTGATACTACAGTAATACAATGTCTTAGCTGAACATGATAAGCTCTGTGATACACTTTTCAATTTCATATTGTTGATTTTTTTTTAACATCGCCCACAATCTCCGAGTTGTGTTGCCATTGGCAGCTTGATTTATCGATATAAGCATTAGCAATGCTTATCTTCTCATGAAGATAGCCCACTCTTAAACAGATCATCCCACTCTTAAACAGATCATCCCACTCTTAAACAGATCATCCCACTCTTAAACAGATCATCCCACTCTGATTTCCTTCAGGACTGAAGTTGTCAAGGGTCTCATCAATGTCTTCTCATCAAGAAAGCTTAATGTAGTTGAAGGTGCTGTGCAAGAGGGGCAGTGAAAATGACAAAAGGTCGTTGTAAAGTTTGCTTAAAGGACAAGAGGGTTAAGTTCTGCAGTGAAGGATGTGAAAAATGCGAACCCAGAATCTGCTAAGACTGCTTCAATAACCATTATCGGCACATGTAAGTGTCCTCAAATAATGGCAGGAGATTCAAATTGTGGGTAAAACTGTCGTTTGTTTGTTGTTGTTTTTACTCTTCTTAATGTAAATAACATGATTTATTCAATTTAAATAAGCTTAAATATAATGAACATTTGTATATTCTTATTTCAAAATTTCAAGGTTTATATTAGATAGTTTAATTCACTTGTATAAGAAACACAGTTTCTATGTTTTAGTATTTCAAAAATCAAATGACTCAGCTTACCTGATGAAAATTACTCTTTTAAATGCTTGCATGATGCTTTGATTGGTAGTACTTAAAAGGTTATTGTTTGTTTTGAAATCCTCTGGTCTCATGATATAAATGATAGGAAAAAAAACACCTCATATTTGTCTGACACCCCTTGGGAAAATAGGCAGTCACAGCCTAGGGCCCTTGAGAATGAGAGGGTTAAGTAGTTGCTGGATCTGGGACAGACATGACACGAAATGGATCACATTAAGCAGCATCCTTTTCCAAACCTACAGCATTGTACACTGAGGGGAAAAGTATGTTGCAGATACAGCTGTTGTAGCTTTCAAACTTATTACTATGACAATTTCTCACTCTAAATTCCTTGAGCTGCTTCGTTTGTGATGCAAAATGTTTTGCATTCATCTGAGTGGAGTCCAATGAGAATCCAACACTATTATAGAAGCTATTTTCTCATTGATTAACCTGAGTTTCCTTCTAAATTTGCGATTGACAAAATATAAGAGAAAATGGGAAGGAAATTGTCAACTCAGGCCCACAAGGAAAAGTATCATGATTCGAGGTCTCCTTATACACCTAATTGAAGAAACGTAAGGTCAAATCATAGAAGCTAAGACCGGAAGGGTACTTGGGAAGACAAACAATTTGTCTAATTTCATACAAACAGCTCTCCAGCATAAAAGACTTGCATGATGTTAATCTTGCTAGCTCTACTTGCTTTACGGTTACACACTTGTACACCATATATGCAAATGTAACAAGACGATCATGGATCGCTTACGTGGGCTTCCTGTAGCTGCGACAATGGTATTTAATTTTCACAATAGAGTCTTTGTTTGTAATAAGTCAAGACAGAATTAAGTTATNTAAGTTATTTATGACATCATAATTTTTTACCGAACTGAACTCAAGTAACTTCTTAAGATATCATGTCTTTCTCAGTTTTCCAAAATAACTAGCTCGACTTTACTATTCAAAATATGCAAAATTTCTGAAAGTTCATATAAACAATATAAACGGTACAGTCTTTGCAGTTGTGTCAGTATCGTATAACTTTGAATAGTATTTTGATCGTTTGAATCATGTAAGATCTTGTGTTTCTGTTCTTTTTATTTGGTGTACAATTTTACATCTGGCGTTCTGTGCCATCATCAAACAGTTCATATTTTTGGATTTGTGTATGTTTTTCAAGTTAAACAATCACCAAAACAAATCTTCATACACAACATAGATTTTGTATACAGAGTTCAGTAATTCACACGTGCATGAGTTCAACACATCGTTTAGAAAATGACATCATTACTTTTCAGATGAGGTTTGATATGCTTTAGTCCATCGAATGATTATTCTTCTGTCAAATTCGAACACTTGTTGTGGCGAGTAGTGCTCTTCGAGTCGGCGATAGAAAATCTCCAGTCATTTCTGCATTAATCATCTGGTAACCTTAAATTATATACCTCATTCCATGTTGTTTGGATGGTAATCAGTTGATTTTGTAAGATTTTCAGCTCTTTAGAGCATTTTAGCTACATTTTAGAACCATTCAAACGAGACAACTTTTTGCCGCCGTCTGTCCGCCATTTTGTTTTCATTCTAAGACTGCAGACCATCTGCAACGCAGGCGTACCAATTTGAAGCCAAATATTCGCGAAGACGGAGAATAAAAGTCCAGTTGCATTTTTAGATGTGGTCTTCTGCAGGAAGCCCACGTAATTAGTGGTTCAACACCCCTTTCGGCCTTAGCTTCTATGATGTAGCCTTTTCGATCACGACTACGTTTTTTCAATTAGGTATATAGTGGAAGTAAGAAAAATGGAATTTTACAACATAATTTGCTTTCATATGTAATCCACCATTTTTTACTAAAAAGATGGCTAATTTGCATACTGATCACGTTGTATAAATGTCGCACTGTGATTGGTTCAAAGCAAAGTTAGGACAACTCTCTGTGGATCGGAAGTAGTTCTGTATAGGAATTTAGTCGATCAGTGTTTTATTTCAATGAAATGGAAGACTATTCTTATGCAAATCGAAGTGTTTATGACTTAAGAAGGTATTTGATATCTAAGGGCATAACTGTTGGAACATTTAAGAAATCGAGCTTAGTAAAACTAGCAGAAGCGGCGTCTACACTTAATCTACAAGACAATGTCGATTTCCACGAAGGTGTCTTGGATCTATCAGAAAGATTGAGAATTAATGGAGTCCAAATGCCTGATCCTTTTTCTATTCCAAAGAATCAATTAGCATACAAGCTAAATGATGCACCGCCCTTTGAAATTGAGGATATTTTCAACGTTTTAGTTTTCAAATCATCAGAATATGACCGGCAAAAAATAGCTTCGTACAAAGCATTCAAGGAGTACGCTCTATTTGAGGATGGCTACGTGCAAGATTTAAAAGTTCAACAGCTGAATGGTCATTTTATATTTGTAGGAAAGGTAAAGCCTACAATGATAACAGAAACTTCTTCAGGGAAATTTTAGAGATTGACGATTGACTGATAAGCAAGACTCTGAAGATGCTTTTTTTAAATTCTGTTAAACATATTCTAAGATATTACTTAAGGCTCGTAGAAAATCTCAAAACATTAGCTTTTTTAGTTTGCTTTTTTGTGAGCCGTCAAAGTTGTCGAAAATTATGAGTTCCAAATTAGCGAAGTCTGGTCGCCAATCAATTCCCTCGAATTTCTCGAAAAATAAGTCATATTTTAACAAACAAACTACATAGCGTTTATCCCTATATTGAGGCCTAACTATGGTTAGAATATGAGAGGAATCAATTTTTCGAGCCTTGCCGCTCGATGTTTGATTTTTAGTGACATTCACTCTTAAATAGTCATTGCATTTTTCCTTCATTATAAGAATTCTGTAAAGAAGCAATGATGAAACAGTACTATAACTTCTGGGTTTTTTTTCAACTAGAGTACAAACATTAAAACTGTGCAACTGCTAAATTATGCTAATTCTATTGTTTTCTATTGTTTAAATAGCACTATTTTATAGTAAAAAGTGGAAGGTAATGCAGCTTGTAGTGTTTGTACTCTAGCACATGACTTTGTGCAAGTTATAGTAACAATAGTGTTTCATAAGGAAGAAAGAGTCCAAGGATATTGCTGATGATACACAACCCACTCAGATGACAGTAGATGATGAGATGACAAAGAAGGAGTCCAAGGATATTGCTGATGATACACAACCCACTCAGATGACAGTAGATGATGAGATGACAAAGAAGGAGTCCAAGGATATTGCTGATGATACACAACCCACTCAGATGACAGTAGATGATG